ATTTGGGACGAATATTCAAAACGGACGTGAGTAAACATTAGTGACAGGTTCTGACGAATATCAGCAACCATCTAGTCACTAAATTGATGAGCCCGCATACAACTGCGCCCCTTCATTTTCGGCAATCCTCAGATTTTGGTGAGTCTGTTCCATATCTTTGGAATGTTTGATCCATTTTCTATTCAGTTAGAAATTTTTATCGATTACCTTTTGGTATTTTCTATTTACCGCTATCGCTGTTTCAATTATTCAATTTCGCTAGAGTTCTTTTTCGAGGAATTTGCACATCACATATACAATNAATTTTTCATTGTTATTATTTTCGTCATGGACTTATTAGATTTATCCGACGAACCCGCTCCCGTGGTGGCCGCCACATTCCAACCCCGTCTCTTATGGGCATCCAGCCCTAGGGCGTTGTTTGCCGTCCTAGAATCACAGTGTGCCACTAAGAATATTATGTCTTCAAAGACTAAGTTCTACCACGTGGTATCTTCGTTGCCCGGGTACCTGGTGGCCGAGGTTTGAGATGTGGTTTTAGAACCTCCCGAAGAAAAGCCGTTTGAAGCCCTAAGGGACGCAATATTGGAACGCACGGGGAGCTCTAATAAAGAGCAAATCCGACGCGTACTGCAGGATATGCCTTTGGGCGACCGGAAGCCCTCGCAACTTTACAGGCTCATGTGTAATGAGATGGACAATATTCCTCACGACGATGCTTTCGTTAGCGAACTGTGGTTACAAAAGTTACCACAGGACGTCTATTTCCTTCTTGCGCCAGCGCAAGACATACCTATAGAGCGTTTGACGGTAATGGTAGATCATGCCATGCAATACTGTCAACCCTCTGTCGCAATAGTTACCCCTACCGTCCCTCCAGTCACTTCTGTCGAAGGTTTTTTTCCAGGCTTTCATGGAAAAGCTAAGCAGTTTCATCCAGGATAGACAATCGAGATGCGCACGGTTTGGTGGAAAGCCTCAATCCAGTGCTCACCGTAGGTCCAAGTCGCCCAACAACAGTCAAAAATATTGTTGGTATCACGCACGCTCAGGTAAGGATGCCGCCAAATGCATCCACCCGTGCGCGTGGAAAGGTCAACCCGTTTCGGGAAAGGACTAGGCCGACGAATGATTACGGCGTCAACCGCTGGCACACGACCTAGGAGCCGCCTTTTTCACGTTAGGGACTCCATTAGTGGTGTGTATTTCCTAGTAGACACCGGTGCGGAAGTGAGCGTCATTTCTCGTTCCTCCAATGAAGCTAGGCTTGCAGCTCAAGCCCTCACCTTGACTGCGGCCAATGGTTCCACAATACGTACATTTGGTACCAGGAACCTCACAGTCAATTTTAACTCATCTAAGGCAGTCGAGTGGCCATTGTTGATTGCTGAAGTCCCTTTTCCCATTCTTGAAATGGATTTCCTAACACATCACGGCCTCACTGTCGACACAGGCAAATGCCTGCTGCTCGATAGCACCAGCTCTGTAAAATGGTTAGCAACCGACTCAGTGGCAATAAGCCCCGTCTTAAACAACGGTCTGCATTTTAGGTTGCAACGTTTGTCAGAAGGTTGTTCTCAACCCGTTTCTACAATTTTGCCACCGGTCATCACACCGGTAACCCATACAATCGTCACACGCGGCCTACCCGAACATTGCCGCGCACGTTATTAAGCTTCGGACACGTTGGCCTTAGCCAAACGGGAGTTCGACGTAATGCTTAAGGCCGGTATAATACGCCCATCGCAAAGCCAGTGGGCCTCTCCACTCCATATGGTACCTAAGAAGGCTGTTGGGGAATGGCGCCCATGTGGTGATTATCGCAGACTCAATAGTTCCACCATCCCGGATTGCTATCCGATCCCACACATCCACGATTTAACAGCTAGCCTTAAGGGTTAGTCAATCTTTAGTGAGATTGATTTGGTTAGGGTTGTCGACCCGGCGGATGTCCCTAAGACCGCTGCCATCACTCCGTTTGGCTTTTTTGAATTCCTTCGAATACCGTTCGGACTACGCAACGCTGCACAGACATTCCAACGTTTCACGTATGAGGTCCTTCGCGGATTAGATTTCGGTTTTCCGTATTTAGACGACATACTTGTCGCAATCCAGGACGCCGCGAAGTGCACGAAGTGCACTTACGCACACTTTGTCAACGTCTACAGCAACATGGTATTACCGTTAATGCCACCAAGTGCGAATTAGGTCGTGAATCCTTAGTTTTTCTAGGTCACCTATTGATCGTCAGGGATTCCGTCCGGTCGAGGACAAAATCGCAGCCATTCGCGATTTTCTTCCAACTATGACGGCGACCGAACAACGTCGTTTCTTAGGAATGATCACCTACTATCGTAGGTTCATCCCACAATGCGCCCAGGTAGTTCGTCCACTTACGGACTTCCTCAGAGGAAACCCCAAGCTTATTGAATTGAATCCATCAGCACAGCAGGCTTTTGATGCTATTAAATTAGCAGTCTCCAATACTGTTTTGTTGGCACATCAGGACCCTGATGCAAAGCTTAGTTTGGCATTAGACGCGTCAGACATCGCGGCCGGTGCGGTCCTTCAACAATGGAAGGACAATGCCTGGCAACCTTTAGGCTTCTACTCCCAACGGTTTTCAGACGGAGCCACTAGGTACAGCACCTTCGGTCGACAACTATTCTCCGCTTACCTGACTGTTCGTCACTTTCGTCATTCATTAGAAGGTCGTGACTTCATCAGCTTCACTGACCATAAGCTACTGTCATACTCTCTTAAGTCCTCTAGTGACAGGTACTCTCCTCGAGAGATACGTCACTTGGACTACGTGTCGCAGTTCACTACTGACATTCGACACTTAGCTGGAATGGATAATGTAGTTGCCGATGCTCTCTCGCGCATAGCGGTAGTTTCGGGGAACGTGATCGATTTGACACGTATGGCACAACTGCAAGATTCCGACACGGACTTGCGAACCGCATTGAAGTCCTTTTTAGATCTTCAACGTTTGCCACTATCCAATTCCGGCGGCACGATCTGGTGTGATGTTTCTCACACACCACCTCGTCCTTGGACGACCTTGACGCCACGCGGGTAAATTTTGTCGTGGGTTTATTTTTGTGAATTTGTAGTT